TCTTGTGATATTTATGCATAAAAAATCTCCAATTTCGTTGAATCATCAAAAGATTTTTGATCAAAATTTGTTAAATCCCCTTAATCTGAATCTGCACACTTCGTTAAAATTTATATTTGATAGATGGAAACTTATTTACCGAACCATCAAAGGTGTCAAATAAACCGAACGTTTTGATGATAGGGATAGATTCTACCTCTAGATTGAATTTTCTTAGGTCAATGGATAAAGTTCGATCGTATTTGAATCGCGTCGCGAAGGAAAGGACATTCCTCTTTAAAGGTTTCTTTATGATACAAAACTATAAAAGTAATTATATAAAAAGTAATTATATCACATAATTACAATTACTACACATATATATATCAGAAACCTGCAGGCTCGGCCCTAAGCCCCATTCGGGTACACGAGCCGGGTAGTATATTTTATAACCAAATATTCTAAATCGTCATTAATAGTTATAAAAATTAAAAAATAAATATAATAAATCCGGATCAGGCCGGGCTCGAAAATATAAAATCCGGCCCGGTATCGACCCGAAACTTTGTCGGATTTTTTTAAATCCGGGCAGAAGTTTAAAAAAAATTAAACCAGAACCCGAATCTTTAAAGAAAAAAAATTTGTATCTATAATTCCCGGAAGTGGCCATTTTAAAAAAAAATAAATAAAATAAATAAATAATTTATACTTATTAATCGTTTTTCGCATAATAATATTTTTCTGGCAAAATATTCTAGAAAATTCGAGCCATTTAACAAACACAAGATTTACATGAAAAAAATAAACAAAAGGTTACATCAAATTAGGGGACAACACGTTTCCCAACTTGATCGCTTTGACCCTGGGTAAACTGGTCACAGATTTCCCTAGCGGTGATTTGGGTAAAACCGAACCCCTAGATAGACACGACTTTATTTGGAAGCGTTACAAGTCACGTGGGTATACCACTATGTATCTCGAAGACGGCTCCGAAATGAGCACTTTCTCTTATCTACGGAAAGGGTTCAACCGAACACCCACGGATTATTACTTTCGGCCCTTTTCCATGTCCATGAGGCGAATGCATCAGGGCGGGAGCCATTGTTTCACCAAACTGGAAGAAGTTCGAACCCTTTTCAAGTACGCCCAAAATGTCATCGTCAATTCGATCAAACGCCGCCAACCTTACTTTGGTATGGCTTTCACTTCCCGCGTGACCCACCAAAATATTTACAACTTAAAGATGGTGGACGAAATAGTATTCCGGTTTTTGAAAAATCTTCACGTGGAAGGAATGCTGGAAAATACTTTCGTTTTCATATTTGGAGACCATGGGCTAAGATTTGGACACTTTCGCAAGACGTTTACAGGTTCGTTCATTTTAATAGTTTTAAAAGATATGCATATAAATTGGAGGCTTGGCTACCCGTAACCCGAGCGGCCCGGAATCCGGCCGACCTAGAACCCGACCAGCACGAATAAGATTCTTTATAAAGGTTTTCATTCTCTAAATCTTTTAAAAAAAGAGATCCTTAAATTTGAAAAAAAATCTAATTTTTCCGGAAATGAATTCCACCATTAGGAGGGCATACCTTACCTCAATTGATTTCACGTGATTTACAATGATTAATTTGCGTAAAATTTTAAAGTTTTTATGAAAAATTGATCTAAATTAAAGCGTAGTATCAAATGTTGAGGAGAAGATTGTCTGAAATTTATCATATGGTATCCAGGCGCGTAGCTATCCAGGGAGTTACCTTGGAACCAATTCCCCCCGCCGCCAAATACTTTCTTTCAGCAAACACTAATATTAAGGAGTTATAGAATCTAACTCCTCTTAGTAAAGTAGCAGAATGCTTAGAAAGATCTAAGGATCCCCTCATTAGAAGTCTATAGAATTCAACTTTTTTTTTTGCAATTGGATATGGACCGTCAAAAATTGTAATAGATTTTTCGAAAATTATTTTTTTCTTGGTTTCGTTGGAGTATCTTGCTTTTCAAAAGTCTACTAAAAAAAGGAGGATAAATGGGTCGGGGCTCTATATGCAGGGTTCTGATGGACATCATAGAAATGGTAGTTCAGAGATCTAAAGTAGCTTGGAGTGTGATTGTCTAGTTCTAACTAGATCTTTACGAAGTTTATATTCGCATGCGCATGCCTCGAGGACTCACACCGAGTCGTCAAGACTATCGTGTTAATATCGATGTCGGATATAGTAGAAGATAATTAAAAAATAAATCCAAATTTTCTTAAGTCGAATAAGTAAAAGTAGCTTTGACCACCTATGTACTTAACCGGCTCAATTTTATTTTTAAAATGCTAACCCAATATTTTAACCCAATAAATGTCAAGCAAGCGCTCAGGACTTCGTTAATAGATGTTAGGGATCTTTGTGCCATATCTATGAAGAACGGAATCTCTAGGGCTTGAGTAATATGGCTAAAATATTGGATTAGCCCTTTTTTTAAAAAAATCAAACCCCGTTTTACAACACTAGTGATCTCATCTTAAGAGTATTTTCTTAACATATATTTTTTGACCACTTTAATCTTTGATACGTGCACAAATAAAAGAGCCATTCTTTCTGTGAGATGAATATTAAAAAAATTATCTAGGAATTACTAGCTTACCTCGGAAACACCGTCTACCTTACTCTCATTATACTTTATTTTATTTTACATAGATAAATGTGTTATATACACTTCTTTAAAAGGCATGATGGAAGAAAGACTACCCCTCTTGTATCTCTTGACGCCCAAAGACTTCCGAACCAAATATCCTGATTATTACAAAAATTTGGAGAGTAATAGAGCAAGAATTACCACGCCTCTCGATGTACATAGGACCCTACTCGACATTCTAGACATGGCAGATGAGGGTTTGGGTGAGAGGATTTACTTGGCAAGAAAATCAGGGGATTTCGATTCAAGTCACGTTGGCAATCAAGCCAAACCTGCGGTGAGCGGTATCCCTGGCCATTCTTACAACAAGATGGTAGATCCATATTTACTATCTGCCAAAAATGCTTATTCGGGCTTTCCGCGAGGAAAAAGGAAGAGATACAGCTTATTCCAAGCTATCCCTCGTAGTAGAGGTTGTCAAAACGCTTCGATCCCGATAGAATTTTGCCCTTGTAACGTGATAGGAAATGATGGGGCCTCCAACGACATACTCTTCGCGAATGCTGCGCAAGCGTTGATGATGAAGTTGAGAGACATTTTAGCCAACTACAAGGAATTGTGTAGACCCTTAGTCTTAAAAGGCATCCATTCAGCAGTGATATTCACTTCCAATACGACCTTGATGCAGGAGATTTACAGTTCGTCTGCTAATTCGGATCCGCTGTCAACGTCACCGAAAAAGAGGAAAAGGCCGGGCAATATCTTCAACTTAAAATTGGACGGGGTCAAGGATCCCAACGTAAAGCGGGAACTAAGACTTCTGCTGGTTGTAAGAGTCAGACCCAGTCAGGCCTTGTTCGAGGCCATGATAGGGTACGACCCCGGAAAAGACTCCTACACAAATATATTGGGAAGCATATCTAGAATCAACAAATACGAAAATCAATCATTTTGCATCACGGACGATCACGAGATACAAAAATTCTGTCTATGCAGGAAGAAAAAGAGGAACAGGGTCCATTTATACAAGTGGATGTAGATCTCCTCCATTTTTTTTTCCTATGTGTGCAAAGAGCGCGCGACAAAAATCTCATGAATGATTATAATATAATCTGGTGATAAAAACTAAAATTCATTAAAAGGACATTGTATTATAAATTATATAAAATAAATATTTTTTTTAAAAAAAGAGCTAATCATTAAGGAAATCACGTGGTTTCATTGTTTAGGTTTTTTTTCTTGTAAAATTTATTGGTAAAATGGCGGATAACAATTGTTCTACAATTCTCTCGATGGCCACAGAACAACTTTAACTACATTTTCAGGTAGGGAACGGGGTGGGAAAATTTTTAGATTAAATTCACAAAATTCTACTCGCAATAAGTTACTGAAGAAACCATTTTTAGAAATGCGTCGTTTGTTTTGTTTTTTGAAGTATATAGAATAATTTACTTTACCCTTTACAGGATGATGACGTATATTTTTTGAGTCAAGTCATTGCGACTTGGACTAGCTGTGAAAGCCGGGTATTTAACAATACTAATGTGACATATTGAGTTCACGAAATTTGTTTACTTTATTTGCGAATATAAAAATCAATAATAAAAACGGTTTTAAACCTCACACTCTAATATTATGAGTTATGCATAAAAGTTTGTTGTCTCAAACATTAAATAACTATCAAACCACAGGGATATTATAAAATTGTTTAGGATTTATATTTCGGTTTTACCCCTTTTATTCTCAACGATCGATACATTAAAAGTATCGATAGACTTATCATTTTATTTAAAGTAATAAATTTAACTACATATATAAACCAATCATATTTATGTTCAATTGATAAATTCAAATCATGAACGAATAAATTATCAGGGCCCACCATTTTGTAGTTCGGTTCCTTGAGAACAAGACATAATTATATATGAAGATTTCAAATGGCATATTTTTTGTTATCGAAGATGATATTCCCGATTCATTAAAAAAGTCTTAATTTTTAGAAACTTTTTAAAAAACTTATAAGTTAGGTGGGGAGAAAAATGTCCAGCCAAAGATAAAACGATTGGAGTGGACATATAATTTGTCAGTTCCTGATTAGAAGTTATTACTAAGCAGGCGGCTGATTAGTCGGCTGATAGCTTCGATTAAACAGACTACAAAAAGTAAGAAAAAAATGCCATCAAACACCTAAACCAAAATAAGGTGCCATAGTTCAACAGCTGATTAGCCTACGTTAACAGCTTAGCCTAGACTAAACAGAAATAAACATCAAAAATAAGTCAAGCCAGGACACACACTAAGTTTTTTATTTATCCCCTTTATATAATGTTGTTAGCGATCTCTCGATACAAAAATGGCGTATCGTTTCGTATCCCTATTTGAAACACTTATCATAAGACTACGAAAGGACATGGGGCATATATTGGTGTTTATCAACAACGAATTATAATAATATATAAATAAAATAATTTATATTATTCGTAAATAGTTTATGAAACACAAAATAAGTGAGAAAGAAAAAAAATAAATGGCGGGTCACGTGCATTTAAAAAAACTATAAACACGTTGTTTAGTTGTAATTTATAAAAAAATATATATAATATTTTAAAAAATAATAAATTGAACTAATATATTTATTATGCGAAATCAATGGACAAAAAAAAATAAGGAAATTCATGTAGCGTTGTTTAAACGGCTCGTGCTCATTTTCAGCCGATTTTTTAGAAAAGGATATCTCAACATTTCACCCAGAAAAATATTACGGCAGAGCCTAAAGAATTTGTTCGCGGAAGGAACAAAGGTCCTAGACATATATTATCGAAATCCCGAAACTTTAGGCAATATTTTTCTGGCTATGATATTGAGTTACCCGTTTAACAAAAACTAAATTCAATGTGAAGAATAAATCTTTCGAAGGAATGTTACGTTCTTTCTTCTTTCGTACAATACAAATATCACGAAAATTATAAAAAATGAAGATGATAATAAATAACATTGATCGATATATAAAATTAGTAAAAAAAAATAAACAAAATTTATAAATCCAAAAATAAAAATAAATATAAAACGGAGAATATAATTTATCATATGGTTATTGCAACTAGAAAAATTTAATTACACTTTTTTTCTTTTGGTTTTTATTAATGCACTTGTTTGGAATAGATAATTTTTTTTAAAATTTTTTACAAAATGCTTCTTTGAAGAGGACGGTAATTAGACCCTAACCCTATAATGAGAGGAGTTTTAGAGATATAAACTTTAATTAAGTGACAGATGTCAAAATTTGACAAAAATTGACTTAAAAGTTGTATCTTTTTAAACATGAGAATAATTTGGGTATTATAATAAAATATAAAATTTAAATAATGTTTTTTTAATTGTTTAAATGATACATAAAAAAATGATTTTTGCTTTTATTATAGAAATATTAAAAAAAAATATTAAATTACAACAAAAAGAAAAGAAAAATGGTAAATTAAAATAAGATTTTATATAAAAAAAAGACCAATTTTTTTAGGGGAGAAAAAATTTTTAATTTTAACCTGTTTCAATAAAAATAAATATATAATGAAAATAATCGGTATTCGTAATTGGAATGCGTCCGTTTTTTAGCTATATAAGCAAGTAGATACAAATAATTCATGTTTGGTAATAATATACATATTTAAGAGGCTAATAAAGCCGAGAAATGTCAAGTCAAATAATTTAAAATACGTCGTTTAGGTGTCAAATCAAATAATACCAATATCCCCTTTTGTTCGGTGTACTGGTCGAGGGTGAGGAGAGGGGGGAAGGGGTATTTTTAACAATTTCGATAAGCGTTGTCTTCCTCTTTACCGAGGTAACCTATGAGATCCGGATTAGCCAGGGGATCTAAATCCGCAAATTTTTCGAGCCAAGAACCGTTGGATAAAATCTTTTTATTGGCGGGAGGAAGAGTATCATTTCTATTGGTCGGTTTCAAGTTTTTATTGGACGGATTTTGGGCGGAATCTAGCGGGTTTTCGCCCAAGATAGCATTCGATTTTTTTTGAGGAGGTAAATATGGCGTGGGGCTGAGTTGAGTAGACGTTGACACTTGAAAAAAAAATTGTATATTATGTTTTGCTTTCTCTTTAATAGGACTTCTTTCCAACTTTCTTCCTCTTTTAAAAATATAAAGAAAAAACCTGAGTTAGAGAATCGGTCATCCAACAAGGAAGAGGGCATGAAATCGCCAAAACAGCTGAGATCGGCACCGCTAAACCTATCTCCCAGAGACAAATACTTGGCCAAATTTGAATCATCATCGATTCTCGTATCTTTCGAGCAGCTATCCCTGAAAATGGAGGAGGAAGAAGAGGAAGCTTCTAGGAGATTAATATTCGTGTCAGGGTCGCCCTGCTTCAGGGTCATATTTACGGTTTTGCTGTAAAATATAGAAAAATCATATTTGATGCATAAAGAGAAAACTAAAGAGGATCTGTATTTTAGAAAGGATAAAATAATGTTCGAAGAAATAAAAAAAAACCCGCGATTTAAATAGATTGCCTTTAATTCCCTTTTACAAAAAGGCCCATTTATTTCGGCTTAGCCAAACCGAGCGAAACCCGTCCGATTAATAACGGGTTTAAACCCGTTCGATTGAGAGTTTGAACAATGTTTTAAAAGAGCGTTTCCGGTTAATGACCATATATATTTATTTTTTCTTCTGGATAAAAATTTTATTTTCCGAATAAAATCAGATTAAGCATTATTTCAAAACTATAACAAACTTTTCAAAGGCGGGCCTAGAATCGCAAGGAACCATGGGCTCGTCATTACCGCCATCTAAATCCAAGGACAGCAGTCTATCGATGAAATCGTTATCGTAGCTCGTGTTTACTAAATTGTTGTTATTTGTTTGTTTGTTTTTTTTTTCAAAAAAAATAAACAAATAAAAATTTTTTAAAAAAAAAAAATTATGGAGAAAAGAATGAATGAAAAATAAAGGAAAACAAATATAATAAAATAAAATAAAGAGTAAAAAAAAAATTGTTATTTTTTAAACTCTCATCCTCGTTGCTAATGAACGGTTCCCCCAGGCTCGAAACCGCATCTGTGGCTACTTCGATAAATTGGTCGTTCCGATTTATTTGGCGAGATTGATTCGATGACTTGGAAGAATTAAATGAAAAAAGAAAAATAATAATATAGAGCGAAAACTTCTTCTCTTATACTTATATTTATTATTACTTTCCTTTTATTCGATTACTTATTAGTATAGAAAACCGGATGTCGGCTCGGATATTTAATTCGATATCGACAGACGCCGGATCCGGTTCTTTCGCTTCCGGTTTTTGTAAAGATTCTGGGGGGGGGGGGTTATTTTAGAGTTAGTTCCGCTACTCTTTTTTATTTCCAAGTTTATTTGTATCAGCGCGGTTTTTCTTTTTTTATTAAAAGTTTTCTCGAAAGATCGGATTACACCGGAATTATATTCCGATATGTTTAGTGGAGTCAAAGATTAGCCCTTAAATAAAAAGTTAAAATACGTAATTATTGAACATTAAACTAAAATTAAATTCGTATTTATATTTTTTTTTGGTTAGCATTCTAAATGGCTGTCTTAAATAGATCGCGATTTAAAAAAAAAAACTTTTAAAGATATCCATCTTTTCGATGTCAAAAAAATCGATTAAATTCATTCATTCATTATGACGTCAGAAATTGCGCGAAGTGCAATATCATCTCCCACGTCAGGAGTCATAGCGGGCGAATATACAGATATCTTATACATGACGTAAGCCCGTTTCATTATAGAGGACGGATACCACTATGCAAAAAAAAACACAAGAATACTATTTCCAAATTTAGAACAAGAATTGTATAGGAATAGGAACTTAGTGTAGTTAAAAAGACCCGATTTGAGAGGTCAATTTTTTTTCAAAAAGATCAACTTAAGATTTTAGCTAAAAAAAATAAATATTAACATAAGCATCGAAGATTGGGCAAATAAAATATCCCGAGAATTTATGCCAGCTATGACCAAAAATCTTTAGTAGGATTGCGTAGCGTTATTTTTGGAAAAAGGTAATATACACCTCAAATTACTACAATGAGCAGTAGTGATACACTCCCATAAGATATACCCCCCCCCCATATCATTTTGATGCACTTTTCCTCCTTGTTTATCTTGGTTAATTGGGGTTGGAGATGATAATCTCAATCGGGCCGTTTTTTGATCGACCCAAATTGAAGAAAGAAAAAAAAGGAAAGAAAGAAAGAAAGAAAGAAAGAAAGAAAGAAAGAAAGAAAGCTTTTTAGTAGTGCTGTTAAACGACTTGTTTTGAGCCGATTTTTAAAAACGGCTAACTCAATATTTCATCCAGAATAATATTACGCAAGCTCGAAAATTTTGCTTATAGAAGGAACAAAGGTTTGTACATTTATTAGCGAAATCTTGAGGCTTAAGCAATATTATTTTGGCTAAAATATTGAGTTAGCTGTTTTTAAAAATCGGCTCAAAACGAGCCGTTTAACAACACTACTTTTTTAGTTGACAATTCTATATAAGATCTGACACTGGACTTGGTTGGATGCAAATTCAATCTCCCAATCCTCATTTGGAGAACTTTGTTGCCAAAATTTGCCCCGTTCCCGCCCCCCCTAACTTATTGCTCTTCACTCAAAATTAGTAGCAAGGGAAGGGGAGTGTCATTTGAAGTGTCTTAGGACTTATATTTTTTATACTTTGTATTCTTCGCCACAAGTCTCTGGATCAGAATCCTCGTAGGTTTCGCTAAAGACCGTAGACAAATCTACTTCCCCCATTTTGCCGGAATTGCCGCCATATGTGCCAGGTTCGGTTGGAGCCATTTCTTGAGCTAATTTCTTGCTGATTTCCGTCAATTGCTAGAAAAGAGAAAATAAAATGGTTTATTTTTTCCAAAATTGTTCGCTGAAACTGGTTAGGAGAGTTCTAGATTTGGTCTCAATTATCCAGGGGTTTTAAAAAATTATTTCGAGTCATTTTGTGGCTAACAGAGATGAGCCTGTCAATTATGCCAGGCCCTTCATGTCCCTACTTTAAATATTTCCCCTTGTCTTCTTCCCCCCTTTTCCCTTCCTTCAAAACCCTTTTCAAATTTAAATTTATATTTAAAAAAATCACTGAAGGTAATTGTTTTTTTTAGTTTTTTTAAATGGTGTTAAACCTTCAATTTGCTGAATTCGTAATACTGGTAACCATCGAAACTCTTGAGAACTTTTCTGAGAACTTTAGACATGCTGCCCCAATACCTAACCAGAAACTTCTGGTAGCCAGATAGAACGTTCGAAAATAGGTTGCATCGGCTGGCCGTGAGCAGGTCTATTTTCTGCATGCAATCCACTTTGAGCTTTTCGAACCTAGCCTTGGTTCTCTTGACTTGATTTTGAACCTTAATGGTATAAAAGCATTTTTTGAAATTGGCTGACAATATATCAAACCAGCTGATAAAAAAGAAGAAGTGTCTATCATTTAATTTTCTTATCATGCAAGAAATATCAAAAATAAATGTCGAAAATCAGCATTCAAACGATTTTTTCTCATCATTTCAGTCAGTTACATCTAAGATTAATAATCTTAGTAAACAATATATCTGACAGTAGAGTCATTAGGGGCGAAAGCGTAGGGGCTCGAGCCCCCTGAGATTGTAAAAGGTAGTGACGCCCCTCAGGTCAGATACAATTTGGGCTGTTTAAAAAATATAGCATACGGAATTAATACGGAAAAAAAAAAGGTTTCGATGGGGTCGTAATTTACTTTCCTAAAATTTTCTAGTTGCTTAAATGTGTCAGGGTCCAAATTTTGGGAGATGTCCTTCATCCACAGCAAAGCTGCCCGGTAATTGAGACGAGCCTTTTCCATGTTCTCTATGGTTTGAAAGGTATCCTTGACGGCTCGGTCGTGGAAAACGCAAATGTCGTCGTACATCCTTTGCAGCGGATTTTGGAGCTGTATCCTAATATTTTATTATTTATTTTGTTTATTTTTTTTTAAATAACAAATAAAAAAATAATGATTAATATTATTTTTTTTTAAATTGTTTACAAATTTGTTTTAATAAAAGTTCGATAATTCCGTTATTTGTATAGATGTAAATAGTCGAGTTCTAACAGATTTGAACTCGAATCGGGGTCGTAAAAAACGCTCCGACTCGAGCCGCTTAAAGAACCGTTAGCCGAGCTCTTCAGCTCACTCTCACTTTGTCAGCTTGCTTAGTCGACTCATTTAGCTTGAAATATCAGTTATTGGTTGGTATTTTAAAATTATTTCGAGCCAATAATATGGCGCCTATTTTTTTATTGGATAGGAACGATTAATCTTTTTTTCTTTGAAATATCGGCTATTGGTTGGTATTTTAAAATAATTTCGAGCCAACAATATGTCGCCTATTTTTTTTATTGGATAAGACAAATTATTCGTCTTTTTCTTTAAATATCGGCTATTGGTTGATATTTTAAAATTTTTCAATTCCATAAAATGGCGCCTTAATTTAAAATTTAAGAAATTCTTCTATAAAAAAGTGAATATATTTTTTATTTTAAAAAAAAAACAAATTAAATAAATAAATTGAAAAGCTAAAAATATGTTTTTTAATAAAAAAAAAAAAAATTAAAAAATATGTAATATATTTATTTTTAAAAGGGATGATATTTAATGAATTTTAAAAACCCAATATAAATAATTTTTTAACAAAAATCTAACAATTAAGATTAATTGTCAAATTAGACTATATATTAGAGATCTGCAAAAGTAGGTTCGGCCCGTATCCGGGCCTAATATTTTTTAAGAAAATTCGGGCCGAGTCGGGCCTAAAACATTTTTTAAAATATATCTAAATCTATCAATTTTAATGTTGAATTTTTTGTGTAAAATAAAAATATGTGATTTTATTTACAGAAAGTAGACGCCATATAACATATATCGTTTATTTTGAGTAATTATAAGAATTCATTTCTAATTTAAATAAATTCGAGCCGGGCCGGGCCAAATTCCGGGTTCGGGCCGGGCCGGGAAAAATTTTAAAAAAAAATTTCGGGCCAAGCTGGGCTTGAAAAATTAGGCCCGATACAGATCACAACTATATATATTGTATTGTTAGATTTATTTTTCAGAATTAACTATTATATTTAAAATGTTTTGTCCAAAATGTAGTGCTAGTTTCATAGCACAACTATCTTACTTGAAAATTTAATTGTAACCAGTTACAATTACTCAAATTCAATGGTTACAATCATAATTACATTATGGTTCCTTAATTTTTTTTTATAAAGACTATGTTAACAATGTAACTTAATACATTTTTTTTTAAATAAGCTTTAAGAAAGAAATAATCCTTCATATTATTTATTGTATATCTATCATTTTTTTGATATGAGAAATTATATACATTAATTTTAATTTTAAAAAAATAATTTGTCCATTTGAAAGAAAGAAGAAAGACTTGAAATCTAAAATAAGTGTCCTTTTTAATATTTTATTGTCCTAAATTTAAAAATGCCAAGCCTGACTATCTATTGTTAAAACAAAACAAAAATATTACTAGTCACAAAAATTTTGATTTTTAAGTACGATTGGGTGAGAAAGAATTATTAAAGAAAATTTTATTTTGAACTTTATATCTTTAAAAATATATATATTAACATACATTATATATGATTAACACCTTTTTTATATTATAAGATATATTACAAAATTAATGTTCCCCCAAAAATTCAAATTATGCCAAGTCAAGCATAACTAAACTAAAATATTTATGAAGATATATGGGATAATTGGAAAGATCTGCCAAAAAGTATATGACTTTAGAATACATATATATTACAATGAAATTCTTTCAAGCATGGAAACCACTTTAGAAAATAAAGAGAAATTTTTTTATGAATTATTTTAGTGATAATGTTTTACAGTCAATCTGTCTATTTTTTTTCAATTTTAATATCTTTTTTTTTTAATGTGTATACCAGAATGCTTAGAAAACCTACTCTGTGATTTTTAGATAATTTTGATATTAAATCATGAATTTTAAATATAATTTATATTCGTTTTTTCCATATTAAATGACTTAAAAGTTTTAATAAGATAAGTATATTAAAATATTTCCAATACAATACAATTTTTAAATTTAAAAAAACCAGCTGCAAAAAATAATTTAAATTGAAAAAATAACATAATGACAAAAAAAACACATTGATAATATATAAGAGGATATATAAATTTAATAAAAAGAAATAAATGGTTCACATGGTAATTTTTGGTAACTAACGGTATCTCGGGGAAATTTTCGATATTATTATTTTTTTTTATTGTTTTTTTATTTACAAAAGAATTAAGATTTTTTCTTGAAATTTTCAATTATTTAAGATTCTATTTAAGATTTATTCTTAAAATTTTCAATTATTTAAGATTCATTTAAAATTTTTCAAATACTAGATATTTAAGATTTTTTTCTTAAAATTTAAATTTTCTAAAACTATATAATCATAATATACTAGAGAATAAAGATTTTTTCTTGATAAAATAAATTTAAAAAATAATATATTGTTAAGCCCTTCCATATAGAATTGCTGCTTGTACATATTTTGCATCTTACTCTATAAAATGCTGCATTTCTCTCCATTATCATATTATTATTACAACACGTGTGATTATCTAGAAGTTCGTGGTCTTTTAAAAAAAGCTATGGTTCTTGTATAACAATTTATGATATCGGTAAAAATAAGATATTCCATTATAATATTATAATTATGGTCTTTTTAAAAAGCTATAATTAAAAATAACAACAACAAATAAAAATAAATAAATTTATAAAAAAGATGATCCACGAGATACCGTTAGTTACCTAATTTTTAATAAGCAATATAATAGAATCACATTTAATATAATTTTGATTTAGAAAGTTCAATGTAATATAAAATTCTCTTAAAAAAATAGATTTAAACCTATGATATGCTGAAAGTAATTGTGATTTTCCAAAAAGGGATAACATAGTAGCAGCCTTTGTTTTATCCTGTTTTGCTTTATCTTGAACAAATTTACCTAAATGATTTTCTTGTTCAGCCAATTCTTCATATTTAGTAAGAAATAAATTAATAAACATTCTTTATATACCTGCAACATTTTCTTGAAAGTCCTCAATAACAAGAAGTAAATCAATGCAAGAGGTAGCTATCGAATTAAAGATCTATTTTGTAATAAATATCAATTAAGTAATATTTATTTAAAGTTTATTAAGCTTACTTTACATATAGCTAAACATATAAAATAATAATATAATAATCTATATGATATAATATTAACATTTAAAATCAACCTCGAGTTTTGCATCTAGCTCAGCATCACAAGCAATAACACAATCATCCTCTTTTTTACCCAATTTTTTGCGAAAAGTCTGTTTAGCAATCCAATAACGTTCCTTAACCTTTCCTATGGTAGTATTGTCTTGATGTTCAACGTGTCTGTCAAAATTTGGTCCCGAATATCCACTAATATTAAAAAAATTTATCAATTTTATTAATAATAAAGAGATGATTTGAATATACACGTATAAATATTTAAGAAAAATCTCACAATTCGTTCATGGAATTTACAATGTATGAATGTTTAGATATAATCTAATATAAAATGTGAGTTATTACTAAGCTTTGACTTGAAAAATTTCGCAGCAATACATTCTTTTATTAGTTTTAAAATATTTTAAATACATAATTTTATTAATATAATTAAATTAGAACCAAAAAATGTTTTAAAATAAATATAATAAATGACTAAATAAAAGTTTACTCTAATTAAAAATTACTTTCTAAGAAAAATATAATTATGTTTCTAAAAAGAAACAATAGTTATATTTATAATTCTATATTCAACTTAAGAAATAGAAATTCCTTAGGTTCATTGATGTGTATTTTTATTTTATAAGCTAAATATTCTAAATTAAACGTGATAGGTGAAAGCAATCCATTCATGAAAGATACGATTAGGCGAATATAAAGTTGCTAAGATTCTTATTTTAATTACTTAGTCACCTGCTAAGGTAATCATCTTGATGTCTGTCAATATTGGTTGTAAAGGTTGGAACTAATGTATAATCCTAAATTAGGAATTCGCCCATTGCCTAGGGGATGGTCAAACTTACAGGTCTTGGACCATCGTCTTTTGCTAGATTCAATTAAAAATGTTTAAAGTTCGAAATTGTTTTAATGGGATATTTGTTTAATCTTTTCAAAACTTTGTTATCTATCTTCCCATTTGAATTTAGCGTTTTTTTTAAAAATATTTATAATAGTACACTTACTAAACCATGTCTCTGGGTGAAATCTGATCAATAATTTATGAATCTGTCGTATTTGTAAATACGTGAACGTTTTATATTTTTTTTTACGCGAAATGCCAATCAACCAATTAAAATAAGGTTGATTGGATAGAAAGATTAGATGTAATATATTATATGTGGATTTTTTTATATTTTGAATTAATTAATTTTTATAAAAAATTACGGATATTTTTTTTATAAAGAAATGAATTTTCTTTTGAATAAAATTTTTGGATTTATATTGTAGTTTTATTTGTCTTTTGATTTGATAATTTCATATAATTCTTGACGATTCGTTTTTTAGAAAGTTTGGTTAAGTTTCTAGGATTTGTTTGGGTAGATTTTAGATTTGTTTTAGTTTGTGTTTGTAGGTTTTATTTTAGAATCCTAGCCATGTTTGAAGGTGATCCTTATTGTTTTATACCGATATATTCTAAACTGCCTTAATGTTATACATATATTATTTTATAACGATATTATGATTTACATAATCTTTAATCATTAAACGCCATGAATATTTTATTATTAAATTTTTATTTGTTAAATATCCAGTTAATAGAATGTTTTCAGATCAAATTTTCTTTATCAATAAATAAATCTTAATCAAAGTATCATAATTCACATTAAAGATGGTATTACAATCGATCACTTCTTTTGAGCGAAAAAGTTTAATTTACATTTATAATAGAATAATGGTCATGCCAAAAGAACAAATTTGGAAAAATTTTAGGGAAGAATGGCAATGAAGCACAATCAATGCAATATAAAAATTTTGTAAATTAGCCTATGTTATGCATGTGGATAGAAGAATGAAAGAAGTATTTATTAATCAGTTGTTCTATGTCCCTAATTCTTAACAAACGATATTAACAAAAACAAAATATTTATCGTAGTTATAGTTGAATTGATAAAGAATTGAATCAAAATGACAACCTTTGGATAACATTATTTTACCATGCACTACCCAACTTCTGAGTCCATCATAACAAACTCTGACCAATCTGAAATGAAAATTATTAAAAGTAAACAATCCAGTAAAAAAGGTTCTGTAGATAAAAATTGGGCATCGGCTAAGGAGCTCGGCTAATTGTCCGTCAGTAAATACCAAAGGATAATTAAGACTTAAAATGTTTGCATATAACTATATTCGTAAGGAATTTATTAGTTACCGAAAATATATATAAAAGAGTATTTGTAAAAGTAAATGCCTTGTTTATAATATACCTATTTGAAAGCAGTTGACAGGACTAAAGTTTTTGAAAATATAGATGTGGAGGTTGAAGATATTATATATAAAGCTTCCCATTTATCTATTTTTTGAGATTATATTAATATCCTAAATGAAAGTATTACAAATTTTATGGTACCGGCTCCCTACCCAGGAAAATTGTCGTACAGCAATTTTTAATTCCCTTATATTTAAAAAATATAATTGACGAATTTAATCCTACAAAAAGTATATTCTTTATTTACTGATTAAGTGTCTTATATGAAAGTTTCGAAGAATTTTAAAAATCTAAATTAGACTTTAACCATATTATATTTTATGGAGGTGCCACACTCACCTAACAATTATTCTTTCAGGATCTTGAACGAGTAAAGTGTTTTAGGTTTTTTTGAAAATAAATATGTACCAAGTGCAGCATTTTCCCGCGACAGAAATCAACATGCCTTATCACCCTCCTTAAGTTACGTTTTGTTTACCACAGTAAGCTTTTTCAACAAAACGTATGCAACAAATACAAATTTGCAAAAATAGCTTTTAAAGTGTCGGTCCTTGAAGGAACCTGTATGTAATACATTCCCCAAGAGAAATATGTGATCATATCAACAACGATATTGGATTGAAAATTTTTAAATATATCTAAACTGCTAGCTATGTCATTGTCGAGATGTCAAGGAGCCAAATGTACTTTGTTCCAAGTTAAAAATGGTATTTTATCTTTAAATAACCTATTATTCACAAAACTCAATATTTTCTTCATCAGAAGAAAAAATAAAAATTATATATATGTATGAATTAATAAAAAAATTGTCCACATACTCTGTTCATAATGCAGCCTAAATACTAAATCCTCTAATCAAGCATCTTCTCACAAATTATGAATTCGATGAAAAGAACTAGATATTCAGGAAGGTAGAGATAATAAAGCTATCTTAGGTATTACAATAAATTTTTTGCTCTAAAAGTGGTTTTGATAAATAAGATATACGGATTGCTGTAGAATTCACAATTATTAATCAGAGTCATCAAGCTGGTAAAAAAAAGACTTTGTACTTGCCCTTTAAGGGAAGTAGCAAATCTTGTTAACCCTTCCAAATTTAACTTCTTCTTCCGAGAGAAATTGATTCTTTTGGGTAATATTCATACAACCAAATAGATTATAAAATTTCAAGGAAAATTAGTTACGTTTATCAGATTTACGATTAATTAAAAATATAATAGAAGATGATTATACAATTGAACCAGAAAACGACCCTGCCACCGGATGTGAAAACGAAACAGTATTTCAAGAATGAAATCAAATCACAAATAATAATATTCATTTATATTTATGTAATATATTTTGTATATTTGTTATTAATCACACTTATAATAATAAAATTTTATTGAATTTTGACCGGTCAATTGACCGAATCGTGATAGATAGGGTCAAATATAAAAAAAGTGAAAAATCAAATTATTTTTTAAAAATTATAACATAAGCAAAAGTCCGCAATAAGGGGACCTAAAGACCTCCAATAAAATTGTGGCAGAATATCCACCTAAATGTTTTCCCCCAAATCTCTATAGAAATATCCTGGATACGCCTATGATTATTGCAAACTGTGATTAACATTCCCTTAGATGGAAGGATGTTTGATAAATGTGAGACTAATATGGATGATAATCTATTAAGGTCGACAATTTTATAGCTAGGTAAATCGGTAATTAACGCTAATTTTTTGTCTCTTATTAGTTATGAGTCCTAAATTTTTAGAATTGGCGGCGTCAAGAAGATTAGAAAACTTCGATTATTTTAGGTAGAGAACCACACAGATGGTTCCATAGTAATCGAATTTACATTTAGGATCATAAAATTAGGAATACCAAAGTAAACTAGGAGAGGTCTAAGTGTCCCCCGTTCTGTTGAATACCTTCGTCGGAAGATAACATGTGGGCATAGAAAAGGTGTTTCAATACCCTAATATATTTCTAGGAAATTTTTTAATGATCAGAGGATATTGGTCATAAAAACATTTCATGAAATGTTCGCAAATATGCTACAGAAGTACGAATAACACCATAGGATATTTCACGTCCACCTTAGACTCCAAATCCTAATTGGTATGTACTTAGTATGTTATTCCATTCAGTTTTGAACTGCATCATTATTATATTGCGATGGGGTAGATATCAGTGTTGTTAAACTGCTCGATTTGCGCCGATTTTTAAAAACCGTAAGTCGATATTTTATCCAGAATAATATTACGCAAGCCTGAAAATTTTGCTCATAAATGGCACAAAGGTCTATAGACATCAAATAGCTAAATCGCGAGGCTTAGGCCGAATTCATAGTGGGATCGGATCCGACAAAATTTAACAGCTGATCGATTTTTAAATCGGTTTATGAGAATCAACTTTTTTAAAAATGATATTGATTTTATCTTTAATTTTATACATTATAATAACCTGAGAAATATTGGCTTTACCCGTTACTGGTTAACGGTGCATATATGCACCACCTCCTATATACCTTATTTTAACATAGTAGTTTTTTTTTAAAAAATAATAAAAAAGATTTTTATATAGTTCAGACATTGTACTTCAAAACTGGAAAAGAAAAATATGAAAAAAATATTTTTTTATGCCCCTAAGAAACCCTCAAACTTTGCGAATTTATGAGGTCTAAAATGCAAAATTTTCTAAGTGATCTCACGAGCATATTATAAAATTATTTCGATGAAAACTAGTGTGTATATATTCTTTATAGATATATCAATATTTATCAATCATTTTTGAATTTTTAAATAATTAATATTTTAGTAGGTAACCACATAAAGTTGACTGGTGCATATATGCACCGTTAACCATCTAGCAGTATATATTATTTAAAAAAATTCAAACAAATGAAATTTAACATAATGAATTATAATTTTTTATATTATACTTAAAACCACTACCGTCACTAAGGGTGGGAAGGGGAGGGGTGGGTGGCTCGAGCCCCTTAAGAATTTTTAAAAAAAATTTTATACCCAAAAAAGACCTTTTGAAAATAATTTAAAAAAATTTTTTTCCCCTGAGATTAAATCGAATAATATATTGTTCCTATTATAATTTTTTATCCCGATCAAATTATATGAAATTATTAGGTTCATAAATATTCAAAAGTTTAAAATTATTTTTAGCCTCTTCCTTTCTGAAGATTTTATTTTATTTATATAAAATATTATGCACCTGTTTTGTCAATTCAATCAAAATTATCAAAATAATAGATGACTAATAAAAAAATCAAGATTCTACGAAAATAATTTGTCTAGATATTTAATTTTTAATAAATTTTTTTAATGAAACGTTTTCTAACAACTGAACAAGCGCTTGCTCAACTTTTTGAAGAGGAACCAATTGAAGAAAGAGATATGGTTATAATTCCGCCAAACCCCTCTGCAGTTAGTGATGAAAAAGATTTCGATGAAAATGACTTAACAAATGTCGGAGTTTTGCCTTCAGATACAGCTGGAGAATTGGAGATTCACAATTCAGTATGACGACCTTCCAGAACCATATTCTACAAGAAGCTATTCTCGAATTTCTCACAATTTAAAATGGAGAAAAACGGATGCAATATATTCTTCAAGCCCTTTCAATGGAGAAAAGGAAGATGTAATAAAACTTGAAAATGATTTACATGGTAAAAGTCCATCAGATATATTTTGTTTAATTTTCGACGAAGACTTATATTCCTTAATTGTAGAACAAAGTAATATTTATGCTAAACAAATGAATAGACCTAACATATGCATAACCATCCAAGATATTCAGAGATTTATTGGAATTCTATTATTTACTGGATATCATTCTCTCCCACAAGAAAGAATGTACTGGTCTAATGACAGCGATATTTCTATTCCAATAATCCGGGATACAATGACCCAATTACAATTTCGAAATTTGAAATATAATATCCATTTGGCAGACAATACTAAAATAGATATACATGATAGATTTTATAAAGTTAGGCCTTACATTAATATTGAATAATAAATTTCAGCAATTCGGAATTTTTAAACATCATTTATCAATAGATGAACAGATGATACCATATCGAGGAAGACATTCTTGCAAAATGTTCATAAAAGGAAAACCAATTAGATTCGGATACAAGTCTTGGATATTGGCCTCTTCCGACGGTTACGTATTCTCATTTGATATATATCAAGGGAAAAGCGAAAATAAATATGAATATGGATTAGGTGGAAAAGTAATCATAAAATTATTAAAGGCATTGCAAAAACCAAATTATCATAAAATATATTTTGATAATTTCTTTACATCATTTAAACTCTTGTCATACTTAAAACAAATGGGATATTTTGCAACTGGAACTGTGAGGGACAATAGAATAGAGCATTGCCCAGTTGAATCTATAAAGGTTGTAGCAAAAAAAGAAAGAGGATATTATGATTATAGGTTTGAAAAATTAAACGAAATATTTGTAGTTCGTTGGAATGATAATTCGGTGGTGACCGTTGCATCGACATGCCACACTATCTCTTTGCTTTCTAATGTTTCAAGGTATTCTAAGAAAATATCTTCTAAAATAAAAATTCCTCAGCCAAATATGGTAACTGCTTATAACAAACACATGGGTGGAGTTGATCTATGTGATAATCTAATATCTACATATAGAATAAAAATAAGAGGAAAAAAATGGTGGTGGCCAATATTCACCAATTTTATTGATGTAGCTTTGGTAAATTCATGGAAAATCTGGAAATTCGTGAATCGAGATGACAAGAAGAGTTTGCTTGCATTTAGACGAGAAGTTACTAACTACCTCCTTCGAACGCCAGTAAAAATTGAAAAAAATTCAAGTACAGGTCACGCCAGCCAGTTTGCATTACAGTGTGAAAACCCTATTGATTCATCTGGACATTATTTATCCAAAATTATAGATGGAAAAAGACGAAGATGGATATTGCCATACGCACTCAAGATATATGTGCCAAACATGTCAAATCGCACTCCATATTAAATGTTTCAAGGATTTTCATAATATATAAACATTTTCTCGTTTTTATTATAAATTACATCTTATAGTATTTTATATAATTTTTATCTTTTTTAACCTCTTAATGGTTAACGGTGCATATATGCACCAGGCTAGATTTTCTATTTAGGATTATTTTTTTTGGCTGATTTTTTTAGAATATCATATTTGAGCATTAATCAATATAATTTGAAAAAATTGAGCATTTTTATCCACTAGAAAAATCTTGACCATTAATATAAAGAAAAATTGATTTTCATAAACCGATTTAAAAATCGATCAGCTGTTAAATTTTGTCGGATCCGATCCCATTATGAATTTGGCCTTAGGCAATATTTTTCTGGCTAAAATATTGAGTTAGCCGTTTTTTAAAAATCGGCTCAAAACGAGCCGATTAACAACACTAGTAGATATCACCATTAGGTTTTTGTGAAGCAATAAGGTTAGTGTCATGAACGATTTGATAAATCTTGTAGAGAGAGGTCTAAAAATATTACATAAATAACATTAAAAAATGATTCTTTGAAAGCGAGTACTAATTTTATAAGAAATTGTTATTGAGAAGAGTGAAGATCATAGAATCTAACGAGAGAAATTTGTTAAAAAATTGGTAGTTTAAATGATTTCATCATTAGAAATTATAATTGAGTGTATCGACGGTAAAAGAAGTACCGCGAGGCAGGAGGATAAATGTTGTGAACAAGCAAAAAAGTGTAATTTACAGATTAATTTGTTTTTAGAGATATTAATTTGAGAATCTCATTTAGGTGGCCCACATTGATATTTTTTGATAATTTAAGTGCAGCAATGTGGTAGACGGCTATTACCATCTTGGCTTTTGTATATGTAATAATTTATAGGAAGTGAGTCTTTTCAAAATTGTGTGTGTTTGAATGGGGTGATAGAGAATTTAGGAGGGGTTAGGCATTTTTGAAGGATAAATAGACAAAAGTCTGATCATAAAATATAAGTATAATTCTGCTACCTAATCAAGGTGTTTGTCCCCCTTTCCAGGCTAAAAATGTGTTTAATAATTTATCCTTAATCGGTATGGAACTGAACTGTTATGCCAACTGCTGCGGTTCAACATCCCACCCCAGTAACAAATAATAAATTTCTCAAATTTCTACATTAGAGTTAATCAACCTATCACATAACTAATAAGAGTAAATACAAGTAACTTTTACACATTATAAAAAGAAAAATAAAACCCCACCATCACTATCAACTAAACCAGCCTCGTTACAATCAGGATAAACCAGTGTAGGTAAGAACCACCAACGGATATTCATGTTAAAAAAATCTTTAAATGAATAGGGAATAATAACCGAAACAAGGAGAGATTTCAAATTCGCAAAGTGCCAACAGGACATAAATTCCAGAATAAATCGGAAGATTAAGAAGAGGAAAATGGTTTACATTTAACCAAGCATTAGGTAGAGAATCCAGCTTTGCCACACGCCAATCATTAATAACTATCGAACATATCAGAAATCAGACGATTCAAATATGTCGTGGGAAACCCTCTGAGCCCTCCGAAAGATTAATCACGTGTCCCCGAGGGGGCGGGGGAAAGAGGGCTCAACCGACCCCTATCCACCAAATTCTATTAATTGTATATATTATTTTCTTTAAAGTATAACGAATTGGCCTGGCAGTATATATGATTTGTTATATATATGTGTCTTGTATCTTGGGTTTATTTTTAAATATCAAATCCATTTATATAAAATAAAGTTAAATTTCACTATGGAAAGAAAGAAAGAAAGAAAGAAAGAAAGAAAGAAAGAAAGAAAGAAAGAAAGAAAGAAAGAAAGAAAGAAAGAAAGAAAGAAAGAAAGAAAGAAAGAAAGAAAGAAAGAAAGAAAGAAAGAAAGAAAGAAAGAAAGAAAGAAAGAAAGAAAGAAAGAAAGAAAGAAAGAAAGAAAGGAAAGGAAGGAAGGAAGGAAGGAAGGAAGGAAGGAAGGAAGGAAGGAAGGAAGGAAGGAAGGAAGGAAGGAAGGAAGGAAGGAAGGAAGGAAGGAAGGAAGGAAGGAAGGAAGGAAGGAAGGAAGGAAGGAAGGAAGGAAGGAAGGAAGGTATACTCCTTTCTATTAAAATGAAAATATCTCCTTGCACTGTCAAAATATTTTGACGCCGCTTCTAGAGATCGCCCTGTAGTATATTCTGGGTAGTCAGTATAATTTGTGCCATAAGACCTGCTTTGACTGGCAGAAAAGTAATGCCATTTAAAATTTCTTACGAGGACTGCCAAGTGGTGGGACGTTACTTTTAGAATTTTTTAAAGAATAACTTAGGATTTCCTATTTTAACACATTCTTAAATTTTAATTGATAACATATTAAGCCTAGTTTCAGTATAGATCTCTCTAACACACCCAATAAAGATTTTATTCATTTTTTCGTCCTTTAGGAATGTAGGTATTTATCGCTCACCCCCCTGACCCAGGATTCTTAATTTAAAATTTTATAAGCGAAATTATAATCATTTTTAAATAATTTTAGCTGCGTTTTTCAAAGGGATTAGAGAGCAGTGTTGTTAAAAGGGCCGATAAAGATTTTAACAAAAATAATATTAGGCAACCCTCGAGATTTAGAAAAAATAGAGGACCAAGTCTGTCTGCCACCTATGAGCAAAATCTCTAAGCATTTAGCTAAAATCTTTACAGGGCCGTTTTTAGAAATCTAGATCAGGGAGTATACGAGAAACATATCTTTAAAATAATTCACTGTGCATTTTTCAACAGTTTAAGTTAGTTGAAGAAGATTATGAATTTATTTTTATGATTTATTCGGCTTAAAATTTAATATTTTTTTTAAAAAAAAATTTCTAAGGCCCCGACCAATCATACGTTAGAGCGATCCTGAAAATTTTTCTGATAATTTAATAATATCTACATCTTCAAACCTCGAATAGATTGTATTCTAAAAAAATCAAATCATTATGCTAATATTTAAATTTTATAAAAATTTTTAGTTTCTTCCTACTTATTACGTTTCTTGTTTTAATATTAAGAAAGAATATCTTACCTTCTCCCGTTAAAATTACGAAAGTTTCTGAATTTAATTTTTTTTGATATTTTAGGCCACTATGTAATATATTAAAAGAATGCTACCAATAGTTTCATATCTTGACAATGATTTAAGCCCCCTAACCTATATGACCCACCTACCCCCCCCCCCCCCCCCTTAGATCAATGAAGATTATGAGACTTGTGTGTAATACTTTATAAAAGACCGGGGCATCGCACTCAATGCCATATAATAATACCTAGACTGGGATGCATTCATTAAAAGTGTACATCAATGAAAACAGCTGGGGACGCCATTTTGATTACCCATATCGTTATTCAAAAAAATTTAAACAAGAGGCCAATTTATTCTTATGTCTGACGCAAACTTTATTAAAAAGAACTACCGGATCATATAGATAATAAGGAAAGCAAGTTATCAATTTAAATAGTAGTTTTTAACATGAGAAATAATCTACTATATGGGTTACCAAAATGGCGGGTGCAGCTGATTTGCATCCAACGACGCTTTCGAATGCATTATTATGAACGCATCGTCAGTCCAGGTATTATAATATGTCATTGATCGCACCCCATTTTTTACAAAGAAATTCTCTAAATAATTAAGGCTGTTGTTTAGATCCACGAGGGTAACTGTAAGAAAAAAAAAATACTGTAAGGAATATTCGTTAAATTCCTCCCTCCTTATAACTAAAATATAGAATGTATATACCAACTAATGTTGTGTGTTGACTCCATTGTCCTGAATCACGGTTGGGCCCTATGATGCAATGACGTAATTAGAATCATAAGGAGTGGGGCTGGGTTGGGTCCCTTTAGGGCATCATTTCGGAGAACCCACTCCCTCAATTTTTTTGGAATGCAATTGTATACACCTCTCCACTCTCCCACCTAAATGGGCTTAGAATTATTCAAGCCCGGCCCGAACCCAAAATTTTTTGTAACCGACCCGGCCCGGCCTGAATTTATTTAAATATTTTTTATGATTACTCAAAATAAAAGAACACATGCTATTTGGCGTTTAGTCTCAATAAATAAAATCGAAATTTTATATTTTACATAAATAATTCAAATATAAAATTGATAAATTTAAGAGATATATTTAGAAAAAATCCCATAGACTGACCCGACCTGGCTCGAATTTTTTTAAAAAATATTGGGCCCGGCCGGAACCCGATTTAGAATTAGGCCCAAGCCCGGCCCGAAGCCCGTTCGGGTCAGGTCGAACTCGGGCCGAGTACGGGCCGGGCCTGCAGATCTCTACTTTGAATAGCACTCGCTTAAAGTCTACTCATTGGTTTTTCGGCTAAGGATTTGAAGTGTGTGTTACTAACTCTGGGTAAATCTCAAGGAACCGAAAATCAAATCTCGAGTTATAATACTTACAAATTGAGGGGTCGCGTATTGCTCCGAGACTCAAAAAAACGTACGCGTCTTTGTTTACAATTTTAAGCGGGGATTTATTAATTAATATATTTTTTTTTAACCACTTATAAATTGAAAAGTAATAAAAAAATTTTTAGATTTAAACAATAACAATTAATAGATAAAAAAATCAATTTATAAAAAAATTTATTAATTCGTGGAAATAGAATAATCAATTTCCATATGGTTGCTCCCTGGAATATAGAAATATATTAATAAAATAAATCGCAAAAATTCGCAAATATGTTCGCGGTTAAAAAAATATAATGGCGCCGATTTGAAAAAATATTGTACATTTTATGTGCCTTACAATCCTTTCGAGTTTTGTGAGGAGATAAAAATAGCTTATATCTTGTAAGTACAGCAAGTAAAAAAATAAAAATGTCAAAGAACCTCAAGCTTAAGCCAATCAAAAATCAAATTAAAACTTCGGCTACGCGCCATTTGGCCCAAGTCATTGTTGTTTTCAGGTCTAATTTGATGTCAGATTGGAGGGTAAGCAGCTTTTTGCCTTCATATATTTTTGTTC